AGTTGCTGCAGTCTTTTGTATCTCCTTTCTTGTGAATTAGTATGTATAACGAGCATTTCCAGTCTGTTGGCCACCACTTTGTTTTCCTTATTTGTTGGCATATTTCAGTTAGCACTGAAGTTGCATCTGTTTGTAGGCACTGTAGTAGTTCAATTGGGATATTATCTGTTCCTGGTTATTTATTTTTCCGCATTTCCTTTATTGCAGATTCCATTTAACTTCTTAGAATTTGTGGTTCCTCTTCATATGGTTCCTTATTCCAAATATCATTCATTCCCTTATCTCTTTTGTATAACTCTTCTGTGTATTGCCTCCAGTGTCTTTTTATTTCTTCTTGTTCCTGTATTGTGTTTTTTTCTTCTCCATAGAGCATCCCTGCCCTCAGTTTGAACTTGGCTTCAACTTCTCAGGTTTTTTGATAGAAGTCTCTCATTCTTTCCTTATTGTTGTTGTCTTCTATTTCTCTGCATTGGTCATTGTAGTATTTCTCCTTATCCCTGCATGTCAGACATTGGACAGTTGTGTTCCTACTTCTGGCTTTGTTCCTATCTCCCTTTGTCTTTGCTTTTCTTCTTTCTTTTATTGCATAAAGTGTTTCATCTGTCATCCATTGTTTCTTATCTTTCTTTTTGGCCATTGTTAGTGTTTTCTTGCATTCATCCTTAATTATGTCTTTGACTTCTGTCCAGTTCTTCAGATTCCGGGTCAGTTATACTCAATAGTTCAAATCTGTTTCTTACATTGTCCTTGAATTCATCTGAAATGTTATTCAGGTCATATTTTAGTGTAATGATGGTTTTTGCTTTCTTCTTCAGCTTAACTCTGATTTTTGTTATGAGCAGTTTGTAGTCTGTGCTACAATCAGCTCCTGGTCTGCGATAGGATAAGGATAGTGTTTCTCCATCTTCTATTTCCAATTATGTAGCCTATCTGGTTTTTGTATTTACCATCTGGTGATATCCAGGTGTATATCTTTTATCTGATTGTATGAAACAGGTATTTGCAATGAAGAGATTATTGGCCTCACAGAATTCTATCAGATGATCTCCTGCTTTGTTTCTTGTTCCTAATCCAAATTGTCCTACTGTTTTGGATTCTAATTTGTTGCCAACTTTAGCATTCAAGTCTCCAATGATTGGTTTGAAATCTTGTGATGATATGCTGTCAATTTCTTCCTGGACTGCATCATAGAATCTCTCAATTTCCTCTTCATCTGCATCTGTGGTTGGTGAGATTATTGTGATGTTGACAGGTTTACCCTGAAGCCTTATTGATAATATACGGTCTAACTTTGAGTTGTATTCCTTAGTATGAAAGCCAGCCTATTTATTCTTTTCATTTCCTGAATAGATTACTGTATGTCTGAGTCAAAATGACCTATTCCTCTCCATTTTAACTCACTCACTCCTAGTATTGCTATATTCATGCGTTCCATTTCCTTCTTTCCTATGTCTAGTTTTCCCTGGTTCGTGCTTCTCACATTCCGTTTTCCAATTACATGTGTAGTGTTGCTTCTAACTATGCTTGTTTTATTGGACATGTTTTCTGTCTGGCCTCCCCCTCTCTAGTTGTTGGTTTTTGAAGAGTCTCACCTAAAGGGTTTTCTTGGTGAAATGGTCTCGCAAAGAAGGACAGCTTTTGCCTCTTTTCATGCAGTGCTGACAAGTGTCAGTTATGGTGACACTACTGTTCTCTGTGTGAGAGTTGACTTCAGTGTCACTACTGTTGCAGCCCAGTAGCTGTTCCTATATTTTATGTCTGTTATTCCCTTCTTCCCTCCCTCAATTCTCTTCTTCCTTTCCTTTTTACACTCCTAGATGTTTTTCCTACCCTCCTCTCCTCCTCTCTGCCTCCCACTTTGTCCCCATTGGTGGCATCAGTGGCCTTCTGGTCATCTTTTTGGGGAGGGCCCTGGTGTTCCTGGGCTGTAGCGTTGAAGCCTCCCTCTTTGTCCATCACCCTTGTGATCTCAGGGAGGCAGGGGAGGCTCTGATGTACCTGGTCTCCCAAGCCTGCTTCTTTGTCCCTCTGGGTGGCAGCCCCCTATTATTCTAGAGCAGGGCCAGGCAACCTTTCCCCTTTAAGGGCCGAGGGACTTCAGCTCCCAGAAGCCTCAGCCATGTTGGCCAATAGTTCCATGTTGGCCAATAGCTCCTGGGATTCTGGAAGCTGAAGTCCCTCGGCCCTTAAAGGGGAAAGGTTGCCTACCCCTATCTTCTGCAAAAAAATCATTGGTAAGAACTCAAGCCAATTATTTCTGTGGAGCAGTAGGAACTATTTTGCATATATTGTCACAAGAACAGTAACCTGATCCAGCAATGGTCACTTGATTATAGCATACACTTAATATAGAATGAGAATGGGAAAGTCCATTAGAGAAGGAAAAGCCTGTTCAGTCTCTTTTCTTAATTCCCAGTTGCAGTAGTTTGTTTTTTAATCACTGGGATAGCAAATGGTTCTGCTGGGTTCTGAGCAGTTTTTACATAGTCAACTTCATTTCATAAAATAACATTATCACCGATTTCAACCCAAAGGTGGTATATACACTGAATAACTACAGCAGTTTGATCCCACTTTAATTGCCTTGGCTTCATCCTATCTTGGTGAAATGGTCTTGGTGAAATGGTCTCGCAAGGAGATTGGCTGTTTGGTGAACTTCTCTACTGTATTTTTTATATGAGGAGTCTATTTTCTTTTCTTTCTTTCTTTTCTTTCTATCTTTTTCCAGATCACAAATCCCAGGATTCCACAGGATAGAGCTATGGCAGTTAAAGGATATCAAATGCTACAATTGTGTAGTGTGGATACATCCTGAAAACCACATAATTTCTGATGCTCTTATCCTTTTGGTGGAGGGAGTACTAACTGAAACATCAGACTATTGTGAAGTCATTCCAAAGAGGGCTCCATGAATATAAATGCATAAGGAACAAGAAGTGGAGTATATTATACAGTGGCTATCTGATGCTCATTGAATTTGTGAAGTCGTACGCTTTCATGGCCGGCATCCATAGTTTTTTTTGTGGGTTTTTTCGGGCTGTGTGGCTCTTCTAGAACATGGCCACACAGCCCGGAAAAAACCCACAAAAAAAGCTCATTGAATTGTTTACATGTGCATTTCATCTATGCTTGTCTTGTTCTGAAGGGGGCTAGTTTGGGCTTTTCCAGCAGAATGCGAGAACACTTCAAAACCTC